ATTCTGGCTGCGTTTCTTCTGAGACAGCTCGGTTCATTCTTTTGGCAGTCTGTTGGACTGTCAGTATTCTTGGCCAACAACATAATGCAAATGCATGGATTCTCCTTTCTCACAGACTATATCAAAAGATAGAATGCAAATATAAACACTATTGATTTGGACCTTTTATCTCTGAAAAGGAATTTGTGTTCAGTACAGAAAACATTTACAATTAAATGACAAAAGAAACAAGATAATTTGTTTAAATGTGCAAAGATTTGAAGAAACACACCAAAAGAGGGCATAGAGATGTTCAATATTTTCAGAAAAGTTACTCAACCTCATTGACGACTAGACAATGCAAATTCAAGCTGTGTGATACCATTGCACAAAGTGGCTCTCATGAAATGTGACTGGCATAAGTAACTGATGATGAGAATGTGAAATAGCTGGTGAAAATGAAAGGCACAGGGGCTTGAGGGTGAAGGGGTGGGGAACAGGGTATTTTGTAAACATGTGGCCAAGGAAACCTATTCCTAGTCAAGAGCAACGCATCTACACAGGAAGTGAGCATTAATGTCCATGGCAGCATGGTTCACAAAAATCAAAACCTGGAATTCCACCAATGAACAACTTGTGCTATACATTATTCCAAGTAAGAACTAAATCAAGAAAAATACATGTCATCCACTTCCATCTACCATATAAAGTTATGTTCTTAAAGCACAACTACTGTGACAATCAGGATTCACAGGGAGGGGAAGAGGATTGAGGTAAAAGTACGAGACTCGAGACTCATGGCTCCTAAAAATGCTTTAGTATCTTGACTGTCACGGTGGCCTAGCCATTCACTTCTCATCACTCACAAAGTGCCTGCTAATACGGGTAATTTACTTAATGTGACTACACGTCTATAAAATTACTTTACGAAACTAAAAACATCAACGAGCAAAATAGCAGAACTATAACCATCCATATCAACTCTTACATAAAACATAAATGGGCCAAGCATCCCGATGAAAGGTCAGAGATGATCTTATTGAGCAACAACAAAACAAGTCCCCGTTGCTATTTGCTGGATAGAAGTGGCATCCTTAAATATTAAAGAAGATCAGTCTAAATGATTTAGAATGAAATTGAGATATTTCCTATACATAGTAGACATAAACAAGTTATATATGGCTGTATTTTATTCGTTAAAGTACACTTCAAGGCAAAGAGCATCATCATTGATAAAAACGAACATTTTCCTATTGGCATACATTTGTTGGATTAGGTGTGATCTAGAGGTCTCACCAAAGACACTAAATTACTGTGGAAATTCCGAAGTTTTGGAGGTTATTTTTCAAGAACCAAAGCCAACGTTGGAATGGGTAAACTACAAATCCCACCTAATAACAACCGTATATGGGCAAATGCAAGCACAAACTAACAAAACCCTACAAACACTCTACCAGGGAGTGGATTCTGAGTCCCAGTGATCCTACAGGGAGGGCACAACTGCTCCTGTGGGACTCCAAGACCGTATGTCTTTACAGGAGCAAAAAGCCTCAACTTTCTCCCAAGCGTGGCTGGTCTAACCATGCAAACTTAGGTTTAGCAGCCGGTGCGTCACTCAGTAGACCAGCGGAGCTCCAGCAGCGAAGGTACACGCGTACGTACCTATTGCCCCCTTTTTATCTGTCTTAACCTGATCAGGGCAAACAGCGTGCGCTGAACTACTAACCTGAGGGGGAGATAAAGCAGAGGGGCAGCGAAGAAGAGGAAGGCCCTCAACAAGACGCAGTGGCTAAACCAGCGGATGAGCCGTCAGACAAACGGTGAGTGCAGCGGAGGATCCGCGGATCCGCTGGGCTTTTGCTCTGCCGTACAAAGGGCACGATGAGCCAGAACCGACCTGAGGCCACCTCACAACTGCTAGCTCAAGGACAGCATTCCAACCCACCGAAGTTAGCAGCATGCGGGGAGAAGCCCGGTGATGTTTCCACGAGGAGCACCCCCAATCAGACCCTGCGGGGCTGGGCTTCTCTTCTCTCACAAGGGGTCGTCATGGGTCAGGATCAACTCAGTAGCAATGGGTTTGGTTTGTTTGTTTGTTTTGATTCCCCCAAAATAGATAGTCAGACCCTCTGTGGAACCTCCCGTTTTCAGTTTGGCCTAAGTTTGCCTCGCCTAGAATTCCATTTCTCTTCTGCGCCTTATTCTGCAGAGGAAAGCGGCCGTTGGCGGGGCTTGCTCTTGGAGGAGGAGGTGGTGTGGGCCCACAGAGAAACCACTTTGCTGAAGACAAAGGCAGTGTCACTGAGGGACAAACTGGGGCAGGCAGCTGGCCAGGATGGCCCTGTTTGTGTTGTGGTAAAACAAGAAAAGCACTTTCTTAAGATTTTTGGTGCATATTTCCAGACAGCTCACCTGGACGTTTGTCTGGAACGACTTGCCTCTTGGCTTTCTTGAAGCTGGAATGAGTAATGTGACGTAGCGGAGGCCTGTCTGAGTCTGTCTGTCCTTCTATCCCCCAGAGGGCTTCTTCCAGTTTCTCCAGCAGATGAACAAGCACCTGGAGTATTGAGAGCCAGACACGAGCAACACCGTCATTGGCGCCTGGGTATGTCCACCGTCTTCCCTCATTCCCCTCAGGCCCCCAACCTGGAGTGATGGTCTTGTTAGGCCCCAGCCCATCTCTAAACAAGCATCGCCATTACCTGCAACGATGGGCAGGAGACAGGAACTCCAAGATGCTGGCTCCCCAAGAGCAGCCCCCAAACCAACAAAAGCCCACCCCCCACCCCCTGCAAATGAGTCCATCTTGACTTGTAGTGACCCACTTGGACAGAGTGGAACTGCCCCACAGGGTTTCCAAGATGCCCACAGGGTGCCTTTAGGCAAGCAGACTGCCACATCTTTCTCACCTGCTGAGTGGAGAGTGGGTTTAAACCACAAACCTTCTGATTAGCAGCCAGGAGCTAAACCAGATGCACCAGAATGGCTTCAATCAGCAAACAATAGCAAAAGCACCAAACCCATAGTTGTTGAATCAATGCCCGCTTTTAGAGCCCAGGTGAACAGGATAGAGATGCCCTCTTGATTTTCCCAATGGAAGACAGCCATGTGTCACTATGGGTCGAGCTGATTCAGCGGCACCTAGCAACAATAACAACAATATTATCATTACGGTAGTAGATTATCTTAAATTTCTCCCGTGAAGCATTTGATGAATTCAAATGGCCAATCTTTTGGCTAGCAGCTGAGGGTTTAACCACTAAGGCACCAGGGAAAGTTCTGGGTAAAAGATCTAAATACCAAGGTGAATCAGTTCTTGGGCACTTCATGAGCCTTGAACAACTCACCAAGGGCCATTACACTCTCTCTGAAAACCAACCAAACAAACCAACCCACCTCTGAGACCTGTAGACTTAACAAATGACCATAGGCAGACAGATCCATAGATACAGACTGTTAAATTTGAATTTCAAATAGACCATTATTTTTCATGAATAAATATTCTGGTAAACACATAAATATATACTGTTCAGTTAAATTTGAATTGCATATGAACAACAAATGATTTTTAGTGTAAGTCTTCAACTAAAAGTAAAAATATACTTGCATGCACAGTGGGTATAAAATTAAAAGTGGATTTCAGATAGCAGACGATGCATTGGGATAACTTTAATAAAAAAATAAAGAAATCTCTGTTGTTTATTTGACGTTCAGATTTACCTGGGCATCATGTGTTTTTTTCTGGCAAGTCTCCTGGATCTTGCCTCTTTTATAGAGCAGTCAGCCCACCCCGTTAGGACAAGTAATCACCAGGGCTGGTTTTGTCCAGGGGAAAAGGTATTAGTATCAGCCCTTCACCAAGGGCAGGGGCGATCTGTACATAGACCCAACCTTGGTGAGTTTGAGTGGAAGGCAAACGGGCCTTCCAGGGGGTCAGTTGAGTGTCTCTTGAGCATCCTGTCTTAGCATCTCTGGATGGCTCCTGACCGTGCTTCCAGCAGCCCAGGTGCTCTCCCTGTGCCTCTCCACCTCTCACCAAGACTCACACACCACACTCAAGTCGTGCCCTGGTCAGTGTCTTCTAGGCTCTGTGTCCTCCTTTCCATACTCTTTCCTCCTGACTTCTTCACCGCCTTCTCGTTTTATTAAAATTTTCTATTATTTCTTATCAATGCTTTTGGACTTACCCTTGTATGGGGAGTAAGATCTAAAATAGAAAAACACATAATTCGATCTTTCAATTCATTTTAAATTTTAATTTAAATTCTAGTTTTAATATTTTATTTTTGATTTAGGTTTGTTCTACTTTTCTATTGTGGTTGGTTTGTATTTTATTTTTTAGAGTTTTGGGGTTTTTTTTGCATGTTTTCCTATATAGGTAAATCTAGACAGTACTAACTGGATTAATAGTTTCTTGGGGGGAATGTGGTAGGGGAGGATGGGAAAAAATTGAGAGCTAATGAGTACAAGAAGAAAATGTTCTAAAACTGATTGTGGTGATGACTGTACTTTTCATATGATTCAACTACTGAATTGTACATCTGAATTATATGCCAATAAAACTGTTTAAAAGTTTATGGAAAATTCCCTTCTAATTCCATTTTTCCACAAACTTTTCAAAGCCGTAGTGGATTATGTACTGGACTCCTGATCACAAGGTAGACTTAAAGCTTTGGAAACCCCCAAGGGCACTTTCGTGCCCTAGAGTCACTAGGAGTATGAACACAGGGTAGTGAATTTGGTTTGTACTTTTCAGTTCTCTTATTTTAAGGCAAGAGAACTTAGAACTAGGTGGAGAACTCTGTACCAGAGTATAAAGCCTCATCTTTCTCCCTGAAGATGGTTCATGGATTCAAACTGCTCACCTTGTAGTTAGCAACCCAAAGCCTAACTCATTACTCCAACAGTACTCCTTCACGTGGATAGCGGACAGGGGAAAATAACTAATACAGTAAGTGGGGTGGGGGTGGGAGCCACTAGCACTGTTTAGAAAGTGTTAAGCAGATACAACACAAGGTAAATATTATAAAACATGAATTTATTTACAAACAAAAAATGTACTTAAATAAACTTTTTTAAAGGGGGAAGTCAGCCTTCATTCTTACAAAGAATGTCTATTCCCAAATTTGAAATGGCATGAGCCCACAATACAATTTAAAAAGTCAACTGAACATCTCCATTTTAGAGTAACAAACAGCCTAACAACATATAAAACTTTGCAGAGCATATAAAAGGCTCTTGCAGCCAACATTAAAAGGAAAAAATACACACAAAACATTACAAAATGTTTACGGAGATTGCTTTCAAACAGAATCCTCTTTGAAAAACTACATACTGATTTTCAGATAACCATACGTGGTGGCTGAAGTCACTCTAATGAAAGCAATGCTGTTTACTTCCGTGTGAATTAATACAGTTGAAGACTCCAGGTCTGAGTTGTGCTTACACACATGTATCATGTTCAGGTACTTCGACAAAAACAGGAATGGAAGATAGAGTTGTAGGTAGATGATCCTCTGCCTCTGGAAGGTAACAAATCGACTCAGGTCTTTTTCCTGATTTAGGAAAATAGGAAGTATAATTGTATTCTTCCTGATTTCTTTTCCTAAAATGCTCAAGCTTATTGATCTTCCCCTCAGCCCTGCTGGGACCAGGCTCGAAGGTTGTTAATGAGCAAAAAAGCATGCTTGAAGCACTTAAAACAGTGCCCAGTACAATGCTCTGAGTCTTCAAGTTGTCCCGGTCATCACTCACTGTGTGTGGGAGAAGATTAATTTGAACTATATTATATGAACAAGGTCACAGACAACACAAACACAATTCTTTTTCTTTAACATTTACCTCAGGGTCATAAAATTCAGGAAACATTTTGAATAACATTTTAACAGACGAGATCAACTATAAATTACTTTTTGGTTCAAACCACAACATAAAACTATGCAAATAAAGTTTAATGCCAATAAAAAAAAAAATTCAAGAACACTTAGAAATGTAACACAATATCACCACCTAGTGGACAAAGCATCTACTGATTTACCTTATTTATCCAACCGATCCCTGGCTATGCAAGCATCCAATTTAAAGATAACTCCAATTTGTGCCATTTAAAAGTATGTAAATTTGTCCTCACGTTCAAACAATTGACTCAGCCCCTAATTCACAACAAATTCCTCATCAAACTCACCGTTGATTGCTGTACGTGCTTTTACATCACCGAAAAGGCTGAGTATTCTGTGCACTTAAGTGAACTATTAAATAAGACCCAAATAAAAAACAAACTCACTGCCATTGCGTGGATTCCAAATCAGTGACCACATAACACACACACACACACACGTAGTTGATTCTGATTCACAGCAACCATGTATGTATATTTGTTGTCAGAATATATTCTGACTCCCTTCCAATTTGTATTAAAGACAGTGTTAGGTAACGATCTCAATATGGGAAAAATCGTATTTACTGTTGGTAGCAGGAATAATCTTTTCAAATAAATATTTTCTTTAATATATATAAAATAAAATACACCCATTGCTGTCAATTCCAAATCAAAGTTACTCTCTAGAGCAGGCTAGAACTACCCCTACAATCTCAGGGCTGTAAGCTGGCTGCCAAATCTCTCCTGAAGAGTGCCTGGTTGATTTGAACCGCTGACCTTGCAGTTAGCAGCCAAGTGTTTAACCACTATGCCACTGTGGCTCCATTTCTCTTATGTAAGAGAGAGAAAAATCATATAAAACAAATTAAATGCTTTATTAGCAGTACTCAAAAACATTGTATCAAAAATACTACTTTACTAAATTCTGCATCTTAAATGTTTCCTCAGGATAATAGAATTGAGTAATTTATGTTCAGAAATTTAAAATATATCAAACAGCATACAAATGACTGCAATGTTTCATCTTGACTATCAATCAATGAAAAGAAATTGTGACAAACTTATAAACTTAAAAATCACAGAATGAGAAGCATCATAAAAATCCTTTTACCCCAACTACCTAATGGTTATCTGAATCTCTTCTGGCTTTCCTATTATAAAAACCTCTTTGGGGCCATTCCTCTACAGATTAAAGAACTAGAACTAATTGAAATCTAACTGTTGGTCCTTCCTTAATCTAACTCCAGGCAATACAGAATATATCCAGTCCTTCTTCCAAATTCTTTTCAGATATCATGAGCATTTTTCAAGTCACAGAATCTCTTGTTAAATAATATTTTTCTTGCAAAACAACTATAAACACTCATCTTTCCCATGTGGCTTTGAAGTGTCTAGAATTTCTAAAAATGATTGCAGTCAATACAAAACAATACACGGCATGGTTTGGCCAAAGCACCTATCCATCATTCTACTTCTCTTGATGAAAAGCTTTCAGAGTAAAGATTAGCAGTCAAAAACTCACAGACGTGCATGCTAGTGCGATTTATGGAATATGTGAACTTGGGGGAAGTTACCTGATATACATGCTACTTAGTTTCCTCAACAGTCACATAGATGTCAACATTTACATCTTAGGAATAGAAGTAGGGTCGCGAACTATTTGTAAACCAGCCAATATAATTAAGGTCTAGCCCATTGCAGGATTTCAAAAGTGAAAGTCTTATTGCTACTGTGTTTATCCTTCCAGCCCGTATCCTGTGTATGCCAAACACATACGTATGTGGCTTAATGAAAGTGAAAGTCTTATTGTGTTTATCCTTCCAGCCCGTATCCTGTGTATGCCAAACACAGACGTATGTGGCTTGATGAAAGTGAGTCAACTTAAAGTTTCAGTCAAGGTGACAAACCAATACAATGTTGACATTTTCTCTCTCCGGAAAAATGATACGCTTTCTTTTGGTCTGATAGTGATGGGCTAAGTGAAACTAAATTCAGCAAAAGCTTGTTTTGAAAAAGCACAAGATAAAAACATCATGGCGTTCACAAAACTTCAAGATGTTATGTTAGATTTGTGGATATGCTTATTAAGTATTGCCTCAATGTATTCCTATTTTCTTGTAATTTTCTCACCTCTACAAATTGAAGTGGATTGGAAATATTTACCTTGTCAAGACTTAAATATAAGTATTTTAACTAAAGGATAATTAAAAATTCACTCCCTGCCATCAAGTTAATGCTGATCACAGCAACCCCCTTTGATTTCCCAAGTCTGTAACTGTTTACTGGAGTAGAAAGCCATCTTTCTCCCACGGAGCTGCTGGTGGTTTTGAACTGCCTGCTGACTAAGTGGATCACAGCCCAATACCTAATCACTAAAACACCAAGGCTCCATAAAGAATCATTAATAGTTCTTTTCCTGAAGTAATACAATCCAGCCTAACTGAAATGATACAACATATTTGGATTTATTAGTCTCTTTTACTTTGAATTCATAACCATCAAGGAGTCTATAACTATTATAATTTAATGACTGAAGGTTACTTATTTTTCCTTATTACTAATAAACAATAATATTGAAACCATGTCCTACTATACAACAGCATATTTAATATATTTCTGTATATAAGCATTAATCACTATAGTAAATAATTTTTGTTAACATAAGTTTAGGCAGGATGATTAGGATGACTTTCATTACGAAACACAATTTATTTCCTATAACTTGCTCAGGATTACATGACAGTTTGAAATTTGAATTTTCTCTAGTGTATACACTTCCGTATATACTAAAAACTTCATTCAGCATACCTTTATTCATTATTTATAACACACTTATGAATTTTATGAATATATGGCAGGAGCTGAATATTTTCTGGAGTTTAGACCTGTCAAGTACTGACTAATTAGAATACACTCACATTTCAAATGAGGACCAAAGAGTAAACCACTTGCTTTACTGACAATGGAGCCACACTAAGTATATAAAGCTAACTACCAAGGTGTAATGATTTTTCTACCTATCCACACTTCATAAGACATTTTACATTTTCTACTAGAAAAAAGCTTCACATCTGAATGACTCTTATTTCTTGTTTCACATTTAATAAAGTTATAACTGCTTCGAGGATAATACTCTACAGCCTAGGCAAGACTTTTTATTCCCTCATACTAATATTTTTTTTTAAGTGAGTCTAAAATGATAGTACACTCTTGTGGGACTCTGAATAAAACCCGAGGATCTCCTCTCTTCAAACAATTATAGAGTGAAAATCAAGCCAAATGAGAGTTCAGTAAGTAGAAATACTGGTAAGTTTCTGCATTAAGCTATTTCGATTAAAGTACTTTATGATAGATGAAGTGCATACTAGAAATAACTTTTAAAGGAGAAGAAAGCGGTCAGGCAACTAAAATTATTTCTTTTCAAAATGGCACGCTATGTTTAAGCTCAGGAACATTGTATTATAAAAGATTTCTGGGTATCCACTAAGAAAAATCATAAAAATGTGTCAACATACAGTATGCTACCATCTTACTAATATTAAAGTTAACGTTCTATAGAATTTCACATAGGGTAGAACCAGTTCAAAATTGATTACTGGATCTAAAATAATTTATAGACTAGACCTTTTTATAATACTCTTTAAGTAATCCTTCAGAGACTTCAATTACAATTACTACAAAACTCCATGGTCTTTCTGGCATGTCAATCCCCTTAAAGAAAATAATCACCTTTTAACCAATTATGTCTACTTTTAAAAATTTAATCACATTAAAAATACCCACCAATATGGCACCTGTGACAAATGATCAAAATTTTAAAGGCCAAAAAATGATTGCCTTCCCAGTTTTGTCAAATGGAATGATCAGTTGGTAGAGGACCAATACCAACCAGCTTTCTGGTGAGACGAGATATCTCAGTCGGTGCATCTCTTAAAAGAACTCGTCTGCTAGACAGCTTGAAAGTCTCACCAGCAAACGGTGATCTTCTAAATGCCTACGGAAGTCTAACCCTAACAAGCATCTTCAACTCAAAAGTACTTTTAAGCATCGCTATTTTTCAAAAGTAATCAGTAAGAAACAAATAGCACCCTTTAATTCCTGGCATTGTTGTCTAAAAACACCAGCTATTAAATGTTTAGGTATTTCATGGAAAAACATGGAAGATTTACATGCTTCCCCATAAATTCCGATTTTCTCCAAAACGCCCCTTAAAACAGTGGAGACAGAACACTGAAAATGAATTGGAAGTGATCTCTCCAAAACAGTAGTCTTCAATGTATGAGGTAGAATTGGTTCCTCATTTCTAGCATTACATATCAGAGTTAAGGTGTTTTTCTTCCCATAAACATTCCTAAACATAAAAGCTTTACATTAGCAGTATCAGACAAAAAACTTTTTCCTATATTACATATTTGTTTTTACTTTTGAGGCTCAAACTTCCAATGTGTTAAATTCATGGCAAAAGAATATTAATTAAATGTAAGTACTTCTTTAAAAAGAAAAAAAAACTGGTAAAACATGTAGTCTACAATCATTGTTACGAATAATCAAATAACATTTTCTAAGTATTGAATAGAGTATAACAGTTACTCTGTGTTTGCTAACTCAGAACTATACTTGTACTTTTCACGTACACACAATTTTATATTTACATATACATAATACTTTCCAAATCTATTCATCCTTTAAAACCTTGGGAAAACAATACAAAACTGAGGATGAAATAATCTGTTCAGTTAGAACCACTTTAAAAAAAAGTTTCAACATGTCTTAATTAGATTAAGAATAAATCACATTGACAATTTCACATTTACAAGTCCAAATGATACTTTCTTGTACTGGAATGACAACCTCCCAGGGTGTGGACTCCAGATAACAGACCCACAGTCCCAACCAACACATAGACTCTCCAGGCAGCTGGTCCCTCCTCCACAAAGTAGCCCTAGAGGGTTCCAAGCATCCTTCTACTTTTAACTTTTAAAAACGCATATAACAGAATCAAAGCCAGTTACCTTAAGCTTTATATGACTTCAGAATCAATTTTTAAACCACTCAGGAAAAATGCAGTTTTATTTAAAAGATCTCAGCAAAGAAATTATCTCCTACCAATCTTGTACGGTTTGATCCTAATTGTCCTTCTGTTAAATAGTGGATTAAATAGTGCTCCACACAAAGATTTGCAAATGTGGCCATAAGGCCCGTTGCAGATGTAATTAAGAATTTTGCGATAGGTCATGCTGGGTTAGGATGGGCCCTCTATTCAATGATATTGTAGAGATGAAAAAGTAGACACAGAAACCCAGAGGGAAATGCCACGTGAAGACAAGAGGCAGCGATTACATTGATATCTCTACAAGCCAACAAGGCCAAGAATCACCAGTTACTCCACCAGAAGCTGGAGGAGAAGCATGGATTTCTTCCTCAGTCTCCAGAAGGAACCGGCCCTGCCATCACCTTGATTTCGGACTTCTGGTCTCCAGAGCATAAATTTCTGTTTTATCCGGTCACCTGGGTCCTACTGTTGTCAGTCCTAGGAAGTCCACACAGTAATGTACTCTAGCAACATCAACACTGTATCTTTGGTCATCAAGCATCTCATATTACGAAATAGTGAAAGTGCTTCATCATGTCTAGATTGCAAACACCGCCAGCTCAATTCCTGCATAAACATGAGCTTCGAATTTATTATTATTTATGATCCATGAGCCTATTCTGCCTGATCCCTAAATCTATAAGCACTTAGAAGAATGTGCAACAAAACTTAAATTCTGAAAAAAGTCCACATACTGGACCAACAGACTGGAAGCACCACCAAGACTACTGCCCAAGACACTCTTTCCAACGGAAACGGAAACCGCTCTTGGAGGCTTCCTAGTGCCCAAGTGAGAATGGGCCTGATAAAATAAGTCAGGATAACCCAGGAGTGCGGTGCTCCCTTGAATCATCAACTGTAAGAGACCAAAGTAAAGAGGAGACCATAAAGGGGAGCATGGAAGCTAGATTCCTGGAAATGGAACAATCAGAATGGACTAAGGAGATTGTGAAAATGTAACCAAAGTCACAGAACAATTTATATAAAGATTGTCAAATAAAAACTCGATTTGCTGTGTAAACATTCATCTAAAACATCATTGAAAAAACCGCCTCTATGCACTTATGGAAATGTTAAGCAACATTTCGATCTAAACTACCATCCCGATCATTTGTATATATTCTTCACTTTGTTATTGATTTTTGGACATTCATAAATAAGTTCCATTATGTAGCATATTCAGTTTTCTGAAACTGGTTTTCTTAAATTTGTGTGTATATAAAAAGTTTCCAAGGTTTATATTAACCAGCAGTAGCAGAAGGATATTGCAACTGCAAATAATTTTGTTTTCCTATTATTAGTCAGGCTTGTTTAGCAGGCCTTAAACTTTTTCTGGTTATTACGTAACTTCTTTGGATTTGTTACATATGCTTAAAGCATATGTAAGAAATCTGAGCTGAGGATCACCATTGTGCCTTAAAGAAATTCCAGTTTCTACCTGTTCAGTTGTTTATCCAGGAAATAATCCAAATATCAAGTCTGCTTCCAGAGTTCAAACTCTCAAATTACCACATAAATCTCTGAATGTCATGACTATTTGGCCACTGGAAAGTCTTGTTCAGAAACACATAAAAAGTCAGGAAATTCACAACTGCATAGCAGCCCAGTTCATAAACAAGTCGGGATGTGGGTGGCAAAGGTATGTTAAGCCTATAAATAATATAAGGTAAAATAAAGTAGCGAAATTCCAGCAGTTTCTGAGGAATAGTAACCATACATAAACATATGAAAAACATTACATTCCAGAAAATTGATTTTGATTTCAATGAATCAGCTATACTCCAACCAGCAAATATATACACTGGAACTACCAAATATTTTACAATTTCATATTTTTGAAAAATTCTTTTCCACACATAGAACGTATAATGCCTATTGTCTGCTAGTAAATATTTGTGAGTGTAAGTGAATTTCCAAACTAAGAATAAGGAGACCAAAGTAATTATAAAAAACTGAATTCTACGTTTCCAAACTAAGCAAAGAAAAGTCTTAATTTTACTAAGAGAAAGTAAGTGAGGAAAGGAGAAAAAGAGAGTGAACGAGAAAAAGTAAAATAGCTGAGGAAAATGCAGGCAGGTTTCATGACTACTCCGATCACCGATTACAATCCCGCCATTCACTACGACAAAGGCACAAAAGGCAAGCACTAGCAGGATGTAGGGCCACGTCAAAAGGACAAGCATGCTCAAGTTCTTAAAGGACGTGGAATAGGCTAAAAGAAACTGAAGGAGCTTCCTAAATTCTGAAAGTGGTCCCTTGATAGAGGGCTGCCGCTCTTCCCTCTTCTTCTGTAGCTCGGTTTTCCAGGCTTCTGTTAGCTTCTGGGCAATGACATGCCCTGCACAGAAGACAGTCCAGATGATATTCGTCTGACGGAACATGAAGCCACAAAATCCAAGCAAGGCTGAAGTCTTGTGATTCCCATACAGGCTCATCAAATAGGCAAAAAGAGTGAAAAACAGAGATCCTGCTTCTGTATAATAAAGGAAGTTAAAAAAATAGAGTGTGGGAAATACTGCTAGTGTCAATGTTGACAAAATTCTCTGGATACTTGAGGCAGCCTAGGAGGCAGAGAAAACAAAAACACAAGTTACAATTATTTTACCACAGAAAAAATGCTGTATCTGATGGGTCACTAAAGAGATTAAAAAAAAAAAAGACAACTTGGATTTTATTTAAATAAAATATCCGTATTAATTTTCATATCAGGCTTCACAGAAACAGCAGTATAGAGTTATCAGAGCACTTTCTGGGACATTTTTAGTTTCACCTATCAATTCGGAAGCCACTATAACTTGGATGTGCCAGTGCATCTGCCTACAATCTCATTGAACAGATCCTTCAACAGCCACTGCCTACAAGCCACCGAACAAAGTTCTTTGAGGAACATGAAGATGGAGTTGAATAGGATGCAGTGCAGGTGTTTTCATTTCTCTGAGCTTAAGTTTTAAGACTTTGAATGAGCACACCTTTATTCCATTATCATTATCAATTTCATTTAAGGCTTGTCCATGAGAGATTATATAGCATTCATGATGAAAATACAGGTGTTTCATGAAAATAATGAGCCCACTCTGAAGTTAAATATCTTTGTTAGCCTTTTGGACAGAATATTTCAGAATCTAAGTGTTAGCTCCTCGAACTGCACCTTCCACTGAATCTAACTAGCCAGATCACGCCATGCCAGTCCTTGATTAAAGTTAATGGCTCTCCATCACTTAAGAGGTCAAATCCAATGTCCTCTCCATAACATCCAAAGGCAGTCTATCTACTACCTCTCCTGTCTTAAATCCCTAACTTCATAAATTTTGTAATTCCAATCAGCATTTCTCTCCATCTCTTTGCTCAATGACTGTCCCTTTTTATGGGGTTTTTCCTGTTAGGATTCCTTTACCCTCTACAGTCCTATGCATTCATCAAGAGTCAGCTCAAGTAGCATCTTCACTGTGACGCCTTCCCCAGTATCACTCACTTCCCTCCCTTGGAATCAACTGAAAGTAAAAACTGAACGAGGAAAGGACGTCCCTCATTTAGCTCCATATTCCCTGAGCTGAATAACAACATACTGAACTTATTTGATCCACTAACAAATACTTCCATTAGATTTCACAAAGGGTCCTTAAAGTATATAAATACACACTCTCCTTTTAAAATGGGGTCAGGAATCACTCTAGAACATACACAAATACTAAGTGATAAAGATAATTCTCATGAAGTATCATACGGTAATTGATCCTAATTGTGGACCCAACTGTACATGAGTTTGTAATACATAATTTTGAAGACATACCTTGTTTCTGGGTTGTACCTTGCGGAAAAGCAAATAGAGTAAATAGAAGTTGCCGACACTGAAGAGAAGATTAACAAATCGGAGCATTCCAATGGAGCAGACTACATGTTCAGACCATCCAAAGATCCAATGCGCAGGTTTGACCACTCCAACGGACACCAGGTATAAGCCAGGCAAAGTAGTAATCATGGGATCCCACTTGAAAATGAAAGGATGGCAATGAAACAAAAAGCAAGAGACTGTATTATCTGCATATAACATACCCGCACATACAAAGCACACAGGAAATTAACGTGTAAGGAGTTTGGAGAAACCAAACCTGCATGGTCTGGAGAAACTCTGTATTTAATCCTGTGCCCAACTAGGAACACTGTCATCTTACAGATGACTAAGCTGAGATTCCAAAAATTCCTAAAGTGGCATAATTAGTAAACAGCAGTGCCGAGGTTTAAAAATAAGCCTTTCTCAGACTACAGACTTCATATTTCTAACGATTACTATTTGCAGCCTCACTACATGAGGCCGGATAACAAGCTATTTCTTAAGGAGGTTGGAGAAACCAAACAAGCCTGGTCTGGAGAAACCACGCAATGAGTGGTGTGTGTAAAAAACACAGTAATGATTCTAGGGCTGCAGACCCAAATGTATCAAGTTCAAACTGTCAGGCAGTGTGGAAAGTTCCTGTAGGACACAGACAAGTCCTTGGAAGATCAGACACCTCCATGGAAAAGTGCTGCTTTGATTTTTGCCCCTTCACATACTCTGATTGTTGTCAGCAACCAGTGGGCAACAATCTAAAATCTGTTGTACTTTCCGAGAGTCTGTATTTCAGTGACCCGATAGCGCTGTTGAGTAAGTGCTGGGGTGCTAACCACAAGACTGGCAGTGCAAACCTACTAGCTCTTCCATAGGAGAAAAGTGAAGCTCTCTACTTCCTTGAGGATTGGCAGCCTCAAGGGCACCCTAAAAAGGATTGCTGTAGTCAGTCCCCTCAATGGGGGGACTGTAGTTGTAGTTGTTGGCTTTTGTTTAGTTTAAATGCAGCAATTTTAAAAACTATGGATACATTGGTTACAACACTGAGAGAATAAGGGTTGGATACAGATTCCATTAATAATCCATTAGATATCATTCACCAAGCTAGACATTGTGCCAAACTTTGTATTTTAATCCTGTACTCAACCAGGAATAGTCATATTACAAATGAATAAGCTGAGATTCAGAAAATCCCCAAAGTGGCATAATCAGTAAACAGCAGTGCTGAGGTTTAAAAATAAGCCTTTCTCTGGCTACAGACTTCATATTTCTAACCATTAATATGTGCGGGACAACAAGCTTTTTCTAGCGACAGCCTCTACCGTGTGCTTGGCCCACAAGCACTGCACAGTGTATAACTGTGTCCATGAAGTCAACTACTTCATTGGTTGACAACTGACCCCCCAAATTCCTGAAGACAACCATGTGTGGAAATAGCAATTTGTCATCTCTGCTTGAGGCTGAAGATTCTCACCTAAAGCCACAATCGCCCAGCAATGTCCTGGGCAAATAAACTCCAGGGATGTTTGCTGGTCATTTCCTAGGATCCGCCTCATTGCCTCGAATCCCCAGGCGAGGGGGAAGCAGCAACAACAACAAGACTAGGCTAGATATCCTCAGTTATCAAGAGGGTCAGTGACTCAGTCCCCGACCACTCCTTCCCAGGAGCTCGACTTCCTATTTATCCATTCATTTCACAGAGATGTCATACATCTCTGAGCTGGTGGAGAGGCGGGGAGAGCAAGCCACTGATGGGAAGATGATGCTGGGGGCGTATCTGCCCCCTCGGGCCTGCGCGGGAGCAGGGACAGGTCGGGGATCCCACCTGTGAGAGGGAGAAGTGGCCCTCACAGTAGCGCTGCGCCTGCGGCAGGTGGAAGATCTCGTCCATGTACGGCTCTCGCAGAGCCCGGCTGAAGGCGGAGAAGAGGAGGCAAGAAACTAAGAAGGTGCAGCTCAGGGCAGCCGAGAAATAGTAACCCTCCAGCTGGGCCACTCCTGCCCCCACGGCCATGGCCCAGTCCTCGGGCGCCGGAATCCCCGGCCTGGAAGCTCGAGCTTGTAATTTGGGATCGAAATGGGCGCGCAAGGAGGGACTGGACAAACCCGACTAAATACAGCCGGAAGGCAGAGGATGCTGGGAGAAAGCGGACACCGAACTTCCGGGAAAACCGGCTCTTTGTTTCCGGAGTGACGAGTTTAAGTAACGGACCCGGCCGCTGCGCCGTCAATCACGTCGCTTCGGGCGCGCGGAGTGGTTGGAGCCGCGAGGAGGGGCGGGTCTCGGAGCCGCCTGCGCACGCGCGGGGGAAGCTAGGCGCTGTGTTGTAAAGGCAGCTTCGCCCGCGGTTCCTCGCGGTTTCCGGTTCCGTTCCTCACCAGAAGGGGGCGGTGTTTCTCCGCGCTCATAATCCCCAAAGGCGACACGTGTGTACAGTTCCCTCCAAGGTGTGCCTGTCTTTTCTCAAGTGACAGGGCTTGCTAACCCTCTAAATCCCAGGCCTTTTTTTTTTTTCATCATCTTTAGGAAATCGAAGCAAAGATCATGCTTTCAATCACAGTGTGAAGGACTGAAGAGACGTGCTGCTGCTGTCCTCTTTCTGAAAAAGGATGTTATTGGCAGAGGGCCCTTTGTGCTTGTCATATTATGTAGTTCGGTTTAATATGTATATTGCAGCTCCCCCCCACCCCTCTTTTTCTTCCAGAACTAGCTTTTTAGTACAATTGCTTAGGTCCATGTTCTGGCTTTCCTACTGAATTATAACATGGGCATTAGTTACCACTGTATTGCTTTGGTTTACTTGCATTTTGAGAACAAAAAGAAAGCAGGATCAGGGCTGTAGAGCATATTAGGTAAGTTTCCCAATGAAATTCTCAGGAGACAGCCATGCCTACCCTCAAAGAATAGCAGGTACATTGTTGTCATGGAGCAAAATTCCCCAATGAAACTTTTTTTGGTCTTTTTCCCACCGATGCCATTTTTAGTTTATTTTAAAAACTGCCTCTGAAAAGGCTCCCAAGATCATCCTATGTCCATCAAGAAAAGCATAAAGACGAGCTCTTTGTAATCCCCCCAAATAATCCGTATAATCTGAATGGACTTCTCTGTCTTGAATGTAACTGGCCCAGTGAAATCGTTTGATTCAGTGTTGTGTTTGAGATTATGGTTTACATTACTGAGTTGATCTGAATCCCATCACTAATTGCAGGAATCTCTTTAAACATGTTTTGTTTGGGGTAAACTCATATGTCTGAACCCTAACAGAAATATTTCATTTTACTTATGTGTACCGTTGTGTTAGTTCCAACTCACGGTGGACATATATGACCCAGTAGAACGATCCCTCAGAATCTCAGCCACTATAATCACTATGGGAGGAAATTGCCAAATCTTTTTCCTGCAGACCCACTGGACTGGTGGACGCATGGTAGTGCACACCCACTCAATCTTTCTCTGACTCTCTGGATGTATGTGAAAGTGTGTGTGTATCTTCCTTTAATTTAGTGGGCAAGTTTGGGAGTTTGGGGTTGGGTTTATTTGTTTCGTTTTGAATGCTGGGCTTCAGAACTTAGGATCGTCATTAATAATTATTTTATTATGCATAATAAGCTTCATTTTATAGAAGATGTGGCTTACCTGGTTATATATGAAATTGGGGGTGGAGCCTGTGAAGAATTCAGCACATTTACCCAACAGGATTATGAGTAGGAATCAACTCAATGGCAGTGAGTTCCTGTTTTTTTGAACCAAGAGCAGTAAAATAATAAAATCTATAGCCCTATGGTTTAAAATAAGGTACATTATATGTTGAACTGAATGCTTCACGGCCCTATTAAATTAACTTTCTCTTCCTTCTGTTTCCATCTTCCAAGTTAAAAATAGAGGTTTATTTATCTTTTTTCCAATGTGTACAGCACAGGCTAAATGCTTGAAAATCTCCCAGATGGCTTTATGAAAACAATCAAACAGATTCCAGGGTACCATCTTAAACTGACTACATAATAATCTCCAGATTTGGTAAATCGCCGTTTTCATGTTGGGGACTTGGCTTCTCCGACTCCTCTTCTCTAGGCTTTACCTTCAGTCCACTTCAAACAGCGTGTGGACTCCCTCTTCAGTGGGTACAGAGAAATGTTCCGTTACAACATTTGACAGGTTTCTATCATACAAATTCAACATTTTTTTCTATCATACAAATTCATATCCACACAGTTCTTTCTTAAAAAAATTAATTGGGATTAATAGACATATAATTCCACAGTTCAAGCACACCCGACAGAATTGTACATTTGCTACCATAACCAGTTTCCAAATATGCTTTTTTCTATATGGACCTCTTGACATCATCACCCCTTTACCCCGCCATCCCCTCTGTGACCCCCTTCCTCCAAAACCTTTATTCCACTTGCTGACTCTATAGGGTCATCAGTTCCAGTTTTCATACCCTGAAAAACAAAACAAAAACCAAAAAACATATAACACAATTTCAAGAGGTGACCCCCACATGGGAGAGGGGGAGGCAGGAAAAAGGAAGGGGGTGTCAACAAACTCAGGGACAAGGGAACAACAAGTGATCTAAAATCAATGATGAGAGCACAGGATGCCTAGTCGGGCTTGATCAAGGACAATGTAGTAGAGAGGAATTACTGAAACCCGAATGAAGGCCCAACATGATAGTGGGACAAGAGGAAACTAAAAGGAAATAGAGGAAGGAACTGGGAGGCAAAGGACACTTATAGAGGTCTAAATACAGGCATGTACATATGTAAATATATTTATATATAACAATAAGGAAATAGATCTATGTACATATATTTATATGTTAAGTATTAAGGTAGCAGGCAGACATTGGGCCTCTACTCAAGTATTCCCTCAATGCAAGAACACTTTGTTCTAATAACTTGGCACTCTGTGTTGCTCACCTTCCTGACAATGACTGAAGACAAATGGGTGCATAAGCAAATGTGGTGAAGAAAGCTGATGATGCCTGGCTATCAAAAGATATAGCATCTGGGATCTTAGAGGCTTAAAGATAAACAAGTGACCAT